GCACAAACATTTTTCTTAATATGATAATGTTTAGATATTGGGTACATTTACTATGAGTTTCAGAACTTGGTTCACTAAACAGAATGGTTAGGGGGAACCATGTGATTGCTTGTCATTGATCATCATGAAGTTATAAACAAAACATGAGCCTAGGTGGGACATGGTGGCTCATGCTGTAATCCTAGCACTCTGGAGGCTGACACAGATGGATCACTTGAGCTCAGGAGTTCAGACCAGCGTGAACAGAGTGAGACCATGTCTCTAAAAATAGCCAGATGTTGTGGTGGGTGCCTGTAGTTCCAGCTACTGGGGGAGGCTTAGGCAAGAGAATCACTTGAGCCCAAAAGATTGAGGTTGCTGTAAGCTAAGCTGATACGAGGGCACTCTACCAAAGGCCACAGAAAGAAAGAAAAAGAAAGACATGAGCTTAATGAAAAACACGAGCCTAATGAAAAACACAAGCCTAATGACCGCTTATAAAGAAAAGTGCATGAAACAAAAATCAATGTCATTCCTCTGGATTTATGAAGCACTGGGAGGTATCTTTTTCTTTCTTTCTTTCTTTCTTTTTTTTTTTTTGAGACAGAGCCTCACTCCATCCCCGAGTGTTGTGAAGTCATCATAGTTCAACCTTAAACTCTTGAGCTGAAGCAATCCTCTTGCCTCCACCTCCCAAGTAGCTGGAATTACAGGCATGTGCCACCATATCTGGTTAGTTTTTATCATTTTTATTTATTTTGAGATAGTCTCATTCATTTCACCCTGGGTGAAGTGCTTTGGTGTCATAATTAACAGCAACCTCAAACTCTTGGGCTCATACGGTCCTCTTTCCTCAGTCTCCCAAGTAATGTGGAACTTCAGGTAGCTGTCATTATGCTGGCTATTTTTAGTAGAGAGGGGATCTTGCTCTTGCCCACGCTGGTCTTGAACTCGTGAGCTCAAGCAATCCACCCACCTCTGCCTCCCAGAGTGCTAGGATTACAGAGATGAGCCACCCCACCCAGCCTAAATAATCATTATTTTATTGCAACTTGTAATTCTATTTGAACAAATGTTAAGCCTTTGATATTTGACAGACCTTCCAAAATCAAAATTCTAAATTCAGTCTTTTGACCTCAAACTAGCTTTTTAAGGAAAAAAAGACTTGGTTTTTTAGCTTTTTTTTTTTAGCTTTAAAATCACTGGAAATTTAAAGAGACATATTAGACTTACTTGGTATATTAAAACTTCATTGGAAACATGGGCAGATATGAAGTGGTATTTAACAGTCTTTGGATTATGTGTGTATTTACATGTTATTAATATATGTTCCAGTATTATAGAATATTTAATATGTCTGAATATATATTGTGAGTAATAATTATAATTATTATGTTAAATTGTCATATGTCACAAGAAGAACCAAGTTTATTTGCCAGTTGTCTCTTTATTTTTTAATATTTTATTTTTAAACAGAGTCTCACTTTCTTGCCCCTGGTAGAGTGTTGTGGCATCATAGCTAATAGCAACCTCCAACTCTTGGGCTCAAGCCAGCCTTTTGCCTCAGTTTTCCTATTTTTAGTAGAGACAGGACCTCTCTTTTGCTCAGGCTGGTCTTAAACTCCTGAGCTCAGGCGATCCACCTGCTTGGGCCTGCCAGTATCTTGGGATTACAGGTGTGAGCCACCTCGCCCAGCCCACCAGTTGTTTCTTTAACCATGGCTATTCTAAAACTTCTGTCATTCATAGACAATTATTATTTTATTTTGATTTGTCTTAGAAAGTTTTTTTAAACACATTGCTAACTGGACATGAGTTACCCCATAATGTGGATAGTTTCTGTGTAAAATTGCTGTTCAACAGTGTGTTATGTTAGAGTCTCTAAGTGATGGTACATTATAAACAGCTGAGAGATCAGGGAACAGCTGCTATGTTCAACTTGCTGAGTCTAAGGTTTGCTTCTTCAAGGGAAATTGTGGGAAGGATTGACAGGTTCTCTTGAATACAGATTTCTGATAAAAGTATATATTTGTAAGTAAAATTTGAAACATTTCTTTTTCTCTATACTTGATTTCTCCAGAATTAGAAAACCATTTGTAAGTATTAATTTGTGGCAATACAGTTATTTGTATCAGTAAACATCTGTTTTATTCTATAACAGGAACATACTGGTTACTTTACCAAGGCTTTGATCAGAGTGGCATGTTTTCAGAGGTGCCTATACAGTGTTAAGGAATTTAGGTTGATTTGAAAAAGGCCAGGTCCCTCATCAGTCATATTTGACAAGGTGAAAATCTGTAATGAGTAAAGAATATAACTTTCTGACAAGTCCAGGAATCCCAAGTTACTTTTGGGGACTTAAGAGGAATTTACCCAGTGCATACAGGTATCAAATGGCATAGATGAGTCCCTGGCTTGACTCAAGAAGTTTTCAAGTCTAGCAAAGCCAATTATAAAAGGAAAAGAAAGCCCGTATGGCTAAAATTATTACTACTGCACTTTATGCAAATAATCAGGCAAAGTATATAAAGAGTAAAGTTTATTTGGGAAAGTAAATTGACCCTACTACAATTTATCTTTAATAAAATAGGAAACTAGAGAGAGAAAAGTATGATTCAAAAGTATGACATCTATAACAAAAAATAGCCAGGCATTGTGGTAGGTGCCTATAGTCCCAGCTAGTTGGAAGGCTAAGGCAAGAGAATTGCTAAAGCCCAAGAGTTTGAGGTTGCTGTGAGATATGATGCTGTGGCAATTTACTGAAAGTGACAAAGACCCCTTCCTTACATGTACAAACACATTACCTAGAGTAGGGCCAGGATTGGCAAATGCTTTAAATGCACATTCTAAGAGATTCTCAGTCCAGGTTTTCCTTTAGAATTACATGGCCAGTTTGAAACACCTTCACTTGTGCCCATCTATGCAGACTCTGTCTGTTGGTCTGGATGGAACCATCCATGTGTTCCTTTTTTTGGAGACAGAGTTTGACTTTGTCGCCCTTGGTAGAGTACCCTGGCATCATAGCTCACAGTAACCTCAAACTCTTGGGCTTAAGCGATTCTCTTTTCTCAGCCTCCCAAGTAGCTGGGACTACAGGCACCCACCACAATGACTGGTTTTTGTTTTGTTTTTTTTTTAGAGACAGGGTCTCACTCTGGCTCAGGCTGGTCTTGAACCTGTGAGCTCAGCTATCCACCTGCCTTGGCCTCGCAAAGGGCTAGGATTACAGCTGTGAGCCACCTGCTCCTGGCCTCATCCATGTGGTTTTAAGTGCACCTGTGATTCTGAGGTGGGGCTAAGGTCAAATACAGGCCTCTAAGCTATATTCATGAGACTTGAGGTCAGACTTTGTTCCAAAGGAAGGTTGAAGGGCCTTCTGAGCTTGGGTTTTATAGGGGCAGGCTGGTGTGGTCCATATTCCCATTGCTGTAGCAGAAATTGCTAGTGATTATGTTAGGGGAAGGCACCTGAGGGTAGTCAAGAACACTCAACACTTCCATATCCATGTTTAAGTTTCTAACTCCTGCAATAAAGGACAGGGAGAAGTTTATGCACTTCCAAGGTCCTTTTGTCTGTAGGTGTGCGGTAGCAGGAATTGTGCCGATGCCTTTAAAGCCGTGTTATTAAGATGCAGGTGAGATTTCTTCAGATTATTTTGCCTAAGAATAGCTTCCAGAGAAGAAGGAAGAGGATGAAATGATTGCTTGTCAAGAAATGACTGGTGGCTCGGCGCCTATAGCTCAACCGGCTAAGGCGCCAGCCACGTACACCTAAGGTGGCGGGTTCGAATCCCCAGCCCGGACCCGCCAAACAACGACGGCTGCAACCAAAACATAGCCGGGCGTTGTGGCGGGCGCCTGTGGTCCCAGCTACTTGGGGGGCGGAGGCAGGAGACTCGCTTGAGCCCAGGAGTTGGAGGTTGCTGTGAGCTGTAATGCTACAGCACTCTGCCCAGGGGGACAGCTTGAGGCTCTGTCTCAAAAAAAAAAAAAAAAAGAAATGACTGGTCACATCCCAGGTCAGGGGCTCCATTCACATTTCCTATTGAAGTGTCATGTGTTTAGACTTTAGAAACCTTTACATTTTTTCTTTCATGTTTCTGCCTAATGAGTTTGTTTCAACTGACCTCCCATCCCCTTTTTGAGACAGTCTTACTCTGTCACTTTGAGGATAGAGCGCCCTGGCATCATATGACAACTTCAAACTTTGGGGCTCCTGTGATCCTCTTGCCTCAGTCTCCCGAGTAGCTGGGACTACAGGTGCCCATCACACCACCAGGCTCATTTTTCTATTTTTAGTAGAGGGATGTATCTTGCTCAGGCTGATGTGGAACTCCTGAGCTCAATCCACCTAGGTGCTTAACCTCCCATAATGCTAGGATTACAGGCATGAGCTATTTCTCCCTTTATTAATAGGTATGTCATAAAGATTTACCAACCCGATGTGCATAAACCATCCCATTAAATCTAGAAACTTTTTTTTTTTTTTGATTCCCTTTGCTTGTAGCTTGCTTTGGAAAATGAAGGCTCTCATCTTTGCTCTCTGGTCAGATGAACTGGGATAGAGCCATGCTCTGCCACTTGCTGACTGTCCAGAAACACATTCCGCTGGGCCAGAAGCATTAACATGACTGGTGAGCTTGTTAGACATTCAGAAATTCAGGCTTCACCCCTGAATCAAAATCTGCATTTTAACAAGATCTCCAGTTTATTGTTGCACACATTAAAGTTTGAGAGATACCTTCTAACTCAGCATAACTTTTCCATCTGAAATACATATATATATACATACAACTTATCCTGTGTGATTTAAATATACTACCCCAAAATGTAAACGTGTTGGCAACCAAAATTTTTTACTGTATCATTCAGAAAACTATAGAATCTACTCTGGTGGTCCTTTTTGAACAATTCCAATCACTTATGAGTAAAAACCAGTATTCTTCACTTTCTCATTTTACCTGGAGTCAAATTAAGAATGCTTCCCCTGGCCACTTTGTAAATAATATGTTTTTCTTTCAGGAACTGTTGACGTTCAGGGATGTGACCATAGAATTTTCTCCAGAAGAGTGGGCATGCCTGGACCCAGCTCAGTGGAATTTGTACAGGGATGTGATGTTAGAGAACTACAGAAACCTGGTCTCTCTGGGTGAGGATAACTTCAATACTCAATTCCTATTCCACACTAAGGATTTTGCGTCCTTCTTTTGTAGAATGTTTTCTAGGGGTCTCTGCCTTATATTGAGTTTCAGATCCTTGTGTTTCCAAGGAAAACTTGGGGATTTGTTGATTTAGAAAAAAAAGATTTTTTTTTAATCTTGAAATTTTTCCTACCTTTTGTTGAGCTGATCTGTAACCTTCATTCTAGATTAGTGGTAATACCAGAAATTCAGTGGCATAATAGGTTGTTCACAGCTTAAAATATGATTTCCACCATCAATTTTTCATTCACTTGGATACTAGAACCAAGAATATACAAGTTTTACATGCTTCCTAAACATTCTGAAGTTTATCAGGAAATAGTACTTTGGAACTGAGTTTTTAAAATCTTCTATGATCTTCTCCACTAAGCATAGAACTAAGTTGATAATTGCAGGATTTCAGTAAGAGTCAGTTTATTTTTTCTAATAAAACAGGTCTTGCAGCCTCCAAGCCAGACCTGATCACCTGTTTGGAACAAAGGAAAGGACCCTGGAATGTGAAGAGACATGAGGTGGTAACAGAACACCCAGGTAAGTGGGAGTGCATAAAACAGATGACCCAGAGGAGAGACAGCCAAAGGTCAAGGAGGAAGCCAGACCTTAAAATGTGGTTTGGGAAACTCTGCTCCAATCAAAAAGGCTTCTGGGAAGCCTGGGTTGTTTCTTTTATTCCCCTCTTTCTGCTTCATTTCATTTAAAGGCATCTCTGCCTCTTGTTTTTAAGTTATGGAAGGACTTGATTTCCCCTTAAATGATCTTCCTTTGAGTTTACAGTGAAAACCAAAGTCCCATTCACGGCTCACAAAGGCCTGCAGGATCTGACTGCTTTTCCATTGATTTTCATGGGATTAGAATATCTATATTTTTTTAAAATTTATTTTTGAGGCAGAGTCTCACTGTCACCCTGGGTAGAGAGCTGTGGCATCACTGCTTACAGCAACCTCAGACTCTTGGGCTTAAGTGATTCTCTTGCCTCAGCCTCCCAAGTAGCTGGGACTACAGGTGCCCACCCCAACCCCCAGCTATTTTTTGTTGCAGTTGTCATTGTTGTTTAGCTGGCCCAGGCCAGGTTCAAACCTGCCAGCCTCGGTGTATATGGCTGGCGCTGTAACCACAGTGCATAGGTGCCACACCTGTAATGCATTTTCAAATCAGGAAGTGTATTGTTTCTTTCTTCTTCTTTTAAAAGGGTATTTGGCTAGTTATAGCTCCTAAATAAAAAAAATTTTTTTTTTGAGACAGAGTCTCTCCTGGTCATCCTTGGTAGAGGGCCGTGGCATCTTAGTTCACAGCAACCTCAAACTCTTGGGTTCAATGATCCTCTTGCCTCAGGCTCCCAAATAGCTGGGGCTACAGGTCCTCACCACAATGCCCAGCTATGTTTTTAGAGATGGGGTCTCACTCTGGCTCAGGCTGGTCTTGAATCACTGAAGTCAGGTATTCCACCCACCTTGGCCTCCTCAGTGCTGAGATTACAGG